CACACACACACACACACACACACACACACACACACTTACCTCTGTTTATTGGCGAATCGCTCTCTCCTCCGTTTTCACTCTTTCCTCCTCTCCCTCTCCACCTATCATTCTCTCCTGAATGCGATCTTAATATGTCATTGCACTCGACGCTTATTGGCGAATCGTTTGATTGTCGGGACTAATTTGTGAGTGTTATTTGTCCTCCGAAATCATTCTCACTGTATCTGCTTAGGATGTGTCAGGCTTTTCTGATCTGTGAGACCACGCCAATTAGTGGTAATATTCTGTCCAGAGAGTCGTATTGGCGAATCGCCTGTTTACGTATACCCCACGATCGTACGTCCTCATTAGTCTGGGGCGCGCTTTGAGGTCTGCCGTGGGTGTGAGTAGCATGTCTTTCGACTGCTGAAAAGAGGTAGTTAGTGCTGCAGGACGGTCCGTAGATCGATCTGCAGCCAAGACTCTCAGGGCATACTGACATATTTAGGAAGCTTTCGTGCCATTCTCAGGGCATACTGACACACTAGGAGTTTCTGCACTAGTCTGTGGACGTAATTGCGTGTCAGGTGCGTCCTTGGGAGATTGGAAAAGCGGTCATGCACATCCAGGAAAGTCGTGTACATGACCGCTTTTCCAATCCGCGCCTGGACGCGCCTGAACGCAATTACGTCCACACAGAGGTCGAAAAAGTCGAAGTGTGAGTTTGCCCTCAGTCATTTTCTTCTGGAAACGCTCTCTCAATGGGACACATTGGGCCCGTATCCCAGCACGTGATGCTCCCCTCGAACAGATCGGAGCCTTGTGTGGCTGTTGTTGAAAATCCACGAATCTGACGAAAACCTGGGATCTTTCCCGGATAGAATGAAGTGATTTTCGTGCATGTATTGGTCAGGGATCCAAAGTTTCTGACGTCCACTTTCTTGTCTATGGTCTGTGGATTTCCGTTGTAGAAGTGTTGTACGCGTCCGAAAGATCTATTTTTGCAAGGAAAGTGGGACCCCGCCTGCACATATATTTTTGCTGTCAAACGACCGGGACCTCTAACGATTTTATATTGGTTTATTGATTTTGTAACAGGCGTTCAGCACTCTGTTCTTTGCCACGGTTTGTCGACGAAGGTGGTCTCGGCTAGAGGTCTGGATAACGTGCCATCGCTAACGGCATGCAGGAAACTGAATGCCGAAGGTCGTTTCACATACGTGCAGTTTCCTCGCTCGGATGCGTGCAAGGCTTTGTACTACGACCTCCCCTCGGCTTGGCTTGCCTGCGCAGAGGAAGAAACCACCTGGGACGTGGTTGTCGACTGCAAGCCGGGGGGTGTTTTCAGCCACCACCTGTACAGCACTGTGGTCAGCCAACACGAGAACGAGCTCCAGAAGCAGAATGTTTGCATTCTTAACTCAGTGATGTACGCGCTCTCCCTAGGAGGTTTCAAGCACAAGCCGGAGTACGTTGTTGCTGCGGACTCCAAGAAGTTGGCTACATTCCTTCCTCCTGCGCCTGAGAAGAAGTGCCCTCCCGGTTTGATAGACTTGCATAAATATGCCATTGCCTGTTTGAAGAACGAAGCGCTGTGCAAGACTGACGAGGCACTGATTGAACAGCTGGCGACGCGTGTGGCGCTGCTGACGACCATCACGACGGTTGAGCGACAGTGTTTAAGCGAGCGCCTTGTGTCCTTGGTGAACGCAAGAGGCCATTGGATCTTGCGCGAGATGTTGGACCTGTGCAGTCCTGTCCTTCCTCCGTGCCCTCCGTGCATCCCCGAGCTCGATTCCAGGCAGCTGTTCTTCATCAGTAGGGTTGTCGGCCACGCCAAGTCTGCAGTCGCCGCCTCCAGAATCGAGGAGCTCGCAAAGCGGCTTGCGCGGTGTTATGGCCTGACGTTAATCGAGCAGCAGGCCATCGTGGACGAGCTGACGTGTCTGATAGAGGAAGACGGCTGGGCGCTGTTGCGACTGTTGTTTGCCACTGAGCCCCAGGCCGATCTGAAGTTGCCAGAGAAGAAGACGCAATGCCCTCCCCAACTTCCGCCTGCATACCCTCTTTCATGCACTCCATGCTTCGTTGCACGTCCTCCATGCCCTCCTCTATCCTCCCCTGCGTGCCCTCCCACCGATTGCAACACTCATCTTCGAAAGCTCGTTTCGTTGATGGGTGTGGAGGGATACGAGATCGGTCTCAAGTTCAAGAACGAGTATGCGTCCCTTTCCACCGAGCAGCGCAAGTGCCACTACAAGACGCTCTATGTGCAGGGTGGCATGGAAGCAGTGACGACAGCGGCCGCCATAGCTGGCGATGTCTGCGACATTGATGTTCTTGCCGCGGCCGTGGGGGAGCATGTCCGCTGCTCCCCCGTGTGGAGWGCTTGCTGCCCGCCTCTCTCCTCTCCCTACTCCACCCTCTCTGCTTCCCTAAAATGCCAGCTCTTGCAATCTGTTTTCTGTGCTGCCGGGTCTCGTGGGCACGAGATCGCGGTTCGCCTGGCGGACTGTCCATCGCTCCTTGGGGACTCCGAGAAGAAGACCTTGTATGCAGAACTGGTGAAGCTCGGCGGAGTGTCTGCGCTTGCCGCCGGCGCACGGCTCGCTGCTGACGTTGCCGTGCTCAGGACTGTAGTGGCGGCCGGAGAGCGTGTCCGTCTCGTCCGAGGCGAGCCGCCGGTGGAGTTCTGTGCGCGAAGGGAGGCCAGGAGACAGAGGGAGAAGCAATTGCTCAAGGAGGTCATTGTGATTGCTGGCTGTGCGGGTTACGAGTTATCTGTCAAGCTGATGCAAGAGGGGTTGACGGTGGCGTGCCGGAAAGAGMTATATTCRAAGCTGTTCGCCGAGGGAGGCGTTGAGGCTGTCGCCATAGCTGCCCTCGTCTCCGAGGACGAGATTATGAAGGGCGAGTTGGAGAAGGCAGGCGTGGAGCACGCRGCGTTTGTCCAATGTCCGACTGCCATCRTKTGTCTTCCGTCAGCCTGCKGTCCGTTGCCTGTGCCTCCCACGGGGTGGGAATGTGACTACCTGCTGAGTGCGGAGGAAAGGCGAGTTGTCAGTGCTCTGTACTACCTTGCTCGAGARGATTGCGCGGTGCGCTCGCTTGCGACGAAGCTGGCACTAGAGAAGAAGGTTCTGTCTGCGGAGGCCCGGAAAAGCCTCGTTGCACAAATCATCTCCAAGACCGGTTGCGAGGGACTCGATCTTGTCCAAAGCCTCTGCTGCTAGGTTAAACTTATCGCCTTCTTGAAGATACCGACAACTACCTCGTTACAAGGAAATGCAAAG